AAAGGCGACGTCCCGGGAATTCGCTCCAAACTTGGTTGATGGGACATCGCCTTTTATCCTTTGATTTCCTTTGCTTTCTTTTCAGAGTGTGACATCCTTAGTGCAGGGGTTTGTCTGCCCTCTTGGCAGCACATTGCATGTTTCTGGCGTTGACTCATGGCTCTTGCGTCGTGTCCTTCTAAAATCCTGTCCAGACGTAGAGTAGAAATCAAACTGTGAGAGCTTGCCGCTGCCTGCAAAGTGACATGCCTGGTAGTATCCGAGCGTGGGAAATCCATGGTCAACCAACTAACTATTCTTGATTGCACGGGTGATTCTCCAGGGACAGCGCGCGTAATCCTTTGCAGACTGCATCAGGCAATTATTATTCCTAGAACATGATCGGCAGATATCATCTCGGATTTTGAAAGCCTCCTGCCTGTGCGCAATGCCGGAAGCTGTGAAGAAACATCAGCTGAAGAAGGCGCGCAAGAAAACCGCCAATGCAAAGAGCACTGTGGTTGAGGCCATGATGGCAGCGTCGCTGAGCTTGCGGATCCTTGACAGTCCGAAATGGTTCACCATCGGATCTGCTTGCAGTGGTTGGTGCAGCGAGCTGTTTGCGTGCAAGCGTTTGCAGTGTCCCTTCATCCCAGTATTTGCGTGTGACATCAATGACCATTGCAGAAAGGTGACAGAGAAGACATGGGGTCACGCCTTTTGGTATGACGACTGTCGCACCCAAGCCTTCCTTGACAGTCCTTATGTAGATATCTTCCTAGCAGGGTTTCCCTGCCAACCTTGGTCGAGGGCAGGGAGATCTCAGGGTGAAGCTGACGCACAAGGCCGGGGCGGCATCATTTGGTTCCTGATCTCTTGGCTTAGTACCCATCTGCCAAAAGTCTTCTTACTGGAGAATGTGAGAGGAATATTGGACGCTCAGCACTGTGATTTTTTCCTCGAAGTGCTGGAGGCGTTGAGGAAGATCAGCAGAGCGGGAAAGCGTGCATACACCGTCTCATGGCAAGTCCTTAACGCCTTGGACTCTGGCACGCCGCAGCACAGGGAGAGGGTCATGATCGTCGGACTTCGTTTGGATGATGGAGTTCGCGAGATGTCTTGGCCAAAGCCAGTGAGCGCCAGAGCGTCCATCTATGACTATCTTGGTGGTGAGACGGAGGGCGACGCGCGTTTTCCTGGAAGGCTGCCGACTTCAGCAACCGCGAGGCAGAATGTGGAAAAGGTGCTGCGCAAACTGCAAGCAGAAGGACGGCTGCCGTTGCAGAACCCTTTTGTAATCGACGTCGCAGGATCCAGAGTCAATTTCGCTGAGGGGTATTCGCCTTGCATCACGCACAGCCGTGGAGGCAGCGGCGGACACTGGCTGACGTGGAAGCAGCGAATGACAACTTATCCTGAAGTTTTGAAGCTCATGGATGTGGATCCTGCGTTGATTGACATTGAAGCATGCGGGGTGAGCCCCAGGCAGATTGGGCTGATGGCAGGGAACGCCATTCCCGTCAAGATGTTGTCTCGTGTGTTGCGCAATGCTTTGAGATGTGCGAACCTTTGGTGATTGCACAGTTGCCTCGTTAACTCGTCCGTGGAGTTGGCTA